AATGGGAATGAATCTTCCCGACAGCATGGGGAAATTCATTCCCGTTTTGCACATTTGCAGATTTGAAACGCGCGGCCACACACACACACACACACACACACAGAGAGCGAGAGAGAGAAAGAGAGAGAGAGCGAGTTTGGCGCCGTGTCTCTCTCTCTCTCTCTCTCTCTCTCTCTCTCTCTCTCTCTCCCCGACTCTCCCCGGGGCTTCTTTGTTTTTCAATTTCTTTTTTTTTTTTTTGCAGAAGAATTGTCATTTCTTTTGTTTTTCTTTGTTTTTTTTTGTTTTTTTTTTGTTTTCTTTTGTTATGATGTGTACCTACAGGTAGCCCGAGGTTCAGCAGGGTTCGGGATACCGGTAGGCTGAGCCACGGGCCTTGACAACCGGCAGGTACTGGTGGTTTAACCGGTAGGTACTGGTGGTTTAACTTCGTTTGATCTTGTTCTGGTTTACACCATTTTGTACAGGGGTGCGGCTCAACCCGAGGGTTGGGGCCGAGCCCTGTCCGCCTCTGCAACCCTACACACCAAGGCAACAAAACAGGGCCATTGCCGAAGTGTAACCAGTATCGAATCCAAGCCGTCGCGTCCAACCAAGTGTAGCTCCCCATATCACGACCACTTACCAGCTGTATTCGCATGAGACAAAGAGGTTCGTCGCATGGAAAAAAAAAGGTTCGGTAGAGTGCTCCGGGTGGACTGCGGAAAATAATAAAGTAGAAACGTTTCTAGTCGGATGAATTTGGGCGCTCCTGTAGCGGCCCGTACGTTTTCTAAAATCGTTACTTGTTTACGGGCACGACTTTAGGACCACTGCGAGGCCATCCAGGCCGTCGGCGTGTTACTACGTGGCCAATGGCCCCGATGGACCTAGAATAGGCCTACCGGTAGCGGTACCTATTGCTACCTATCGCCGCGTGGGCGTGTGCTCGGGCCGGTGCATGCTTGCGTGGGCGCAATTGTGTGCGAGTTCGAGCGTGCCTGTGGGTGTGCGTGGGCGTGTGTGGGGGGAGTGACGAGCTTGCCACACGCACACACACACACACCGAGGAGGAGGGGGGAGAGATAGATAGATAGATAGATAGATAGATAGAGAGAGAGAGAGAGAGAGAGAGAGAAACATGAGCAGTGTGCTGCTGTAGATTGATGTCGGAAACTGCCGAGACTTCAAAATTTCTTTCGTCGTCGTCGGAGCGGTGAACACTGAACAGCTCCGCGCGAAAGCGGTAAGCCGCGATCTTATGCGTTCTTCTCCTGCTCCTCCTGCTCCTCCTCCTCCTCCTCCGTATCCCTCTTGTGCCCTCGACTCTCCATTTTTCGACATCCTGTCGCAATATCCCTCTGCACCTGCGTTACCCATCTCTTTTTTTTTTTTTTTTTTGTTTAATAATGAAAATACCACCCGCGACGAAAGAAAGGAACCCATCTCTATTCCTATTCCGCATGGCGACCTAAGCTCTGGCTTCTTCAGCTCCCGTCATTGCGAGGAGCAGTGAGCAGCTCCGCACGGAGGTGGTAAGACCTGATCTTACCCTTTCTCCTCTTCCTCCTCCTCCTCCTCCTCCTCCTCCTCCTCCTCCTCCCTCTTTTGCTCTCGACTCTTCATCTGTCGACATCCTGTCGCAACATTCGTCTGCGCCGGCGACCTGAGCTCTGGCGTCTTCAGATCCCGTTACTGCACACAAAGAGAGAGAGAGAGAGAGAGAGAGAGAGAGAGA